ATTATCATTATTGAAATTAGCATTTATATAGCACTAAAATATTCAACAGTGCTTTTCAGAATGGGAATATTTGACAACAATTAATTGACATACAAAATCGTATCAGAGACAAGAGGTGAGGAAGAACATGTTCAAATGAGCTTATAATCTTTGAGGAAGGGGCAAAAACTAGACTAGTGCGTTTGTATTTGGAAAATTGACCAAGTGACCAAAAATGTAGCATCTAAATGAAAATGCATCAATAACAGAATTTCTGCATGATCGAATAGCTCACTGGCTGAATATCTTTCAGTGCCATGCCGGTCATTCATGCATTGCAGTCAGTTGCTGCACACAAGAAAACCAATCACAAAAAAAGAAAAGCAGTAATTGAGCAGCTATTGTACACACACTTCCCCCTCTTGGCCCCCAATTTAAAGAATGGGTGTATACAATGCTCAAGACTAAAGGAAGTTGTCATGGTTCCAGGAGGACCTGGGGCTCACTGTTAACTCAAGGTGTTAAACCATTCTAGAATGGTATAACCTCAATGTGAGCCTCCAGAGCTGATTTCAACTCCCCTGCCCCCGCACCCTCAAATGGGATCCAGCTTCTGTGTTCTCGTTTCAGGAAGCGTGGACTGTTGCCTGGGAGGTGCGCCGCTCATTGGCTGACAGCGGTACCTTGAAAAAGATACTTGTCTTTTACAAGCCAATTTTATGAATGGGAGTCAATAGGGCCTAACCCTGACCCAAAATTGATTCAAAATTTATTCAGATGCCACATCACTGGCCTCTAACAGATATAGGCCTTGATTTAATAAGGTTTCCAAATGATTCAAAACTGTTAGAAAAACTTTCCATATTATTTATTGGCAAAATTCCCATTCCCATTAATATATAAAAGAAATATCAAAATTTTACAAAATTCAAATATCTTTCCTAGTATTAAATAATTTATAAAGTGTTTCCCAAAAATATAAAGCCATTTGGATTAAATTCTATTAAATTGAGACCTAAGTCACTATTGTTTTACAAGTTACTTTCTGATAATAAACTTGCGAGCAGAATTCTTGTATTTTACTCTGCTTGTTGAAATATCTTTAAAGCTCATTTAGCTTTTGTATTAAATGTTGCTCAAATGTTGGCAATGTACAATAATCATTTACGTTCTTGTGAATGAACCAGATTTGTGTCTACTTTTGACATTATGTACGTATAATGTATTTTTTGTAATTCTGTTTAAATTCACAAGTTCACATTTGTTTGGCTAACACTAATACAACTAAAATAGCACATAGTTATTAATGCACATGCCCCAGCTTGAGACTAGACATAAATAAAGTGAACATGTTAAGAACACCCACTCAGCACTTCTCTTGGAGCAGTCTCTGTGTACTATACTCCTTTTTTGATCATCTTTCCAACTTTTCCCCAATCTGCTCATTCTGTTGAGTAAAGCAAATGTTTCCAATAACAGATAATACTTCATTCGCTGATAGGGCTTAACACCGATCATTGATACCTGGTGCGTGTTGTAGACATTCAAACATTTTACACATAATTGTCTATACATATTTTTGACATATTCATTCTTCTCAATGTTATTTTCTGTGAAGTGATGCTAGTAAGTACAATGCACAAGGCATATTTATTGCTCTGGTAGAATTAAATTTTGTAAAGTAACTATTCAATACTATTTGAATATCATCTGGATCATCTGGATTATTATATTAGAAGTAGTTTAAAGGTGACAGCTGTCCTTTAATGTTTATGTAGAGGTATGTTTATGAATGAAAGAGTTTATATAAAACATCGCATTAGCTTTCATTTGGAATTTGAAATGTAGACAGGCTTGTGTTGCTAACGATATTCTTTGCATGCTCTATATTTCTTTTAATTGATGAGAGACGCATTCTTGGCACATTTCCAGTCAATCGTGTCTTGATGTAAAATGCAATGGTCACACCGTTTCCAACAGCAATATATACAGCTTGATGATGAAGCTAATGATCAGACAATCAAAGTCCACCAACTGGTCTGAATAGACCTGTAAATCATTGTAAATTTATTGGCAGGTTTGGCTTTCCATCCTTCAAAACCTTCTGTATGTCTGTGAACTAGGATCTCTCTGGTTGGTCTAATGTTGACATCACTACATATATGGTCAAGTCACTTTTGTTTAGAAATGTGTTATAGCTGGTTTTGCTCTTTTAAGGCAGCCGCCGACTTTTTCGAAGTTACCGGCCACAGCTCGCCGCGCTCTACTAGTTGTGAGTGCTCCCCTACTACGGTATGGTGCAAGATCACAGTGTATGTATGACAGACAGTACGATTCACCGTATCTGTAAACATAGAGCACCTGTGCCATCTGACCGAGATATCTTGGGTTTGAGCTCGCTGGGCATCCTAGAATCCATCACCGATCTCCTGTGTTTTACTTTACTCTTTTACATTATCCGGATTCATGGAGGGTTCCCCCAACTGATAAGTACTTTGATTAGATCATTTAGTATTTTATTCATTTATTCTCTTATGTATATACAGAGTTGTCTACTATATTTATTGCTGTGGTGTTTTTTATCTTTCTACCATTTTTAGGATGTCACTTGATAGTTAACAGTGTTGTTGATATACCCTTTTTCGATCCTAGTTGAGATATAGGTTTGTTGCTGGTGTCACACACTGTGTTACTTTGAGTTGTGTATGTATCTATACTTCTCTGATACTTTTTTGTATTCTACATTGCTACACTCCAGGTTTTAGTTGTTAAGACGGCATTACTACCTTGGATGTTGTGATGTGCATTTCATCTACATAATGTATTTTTAATTATTACTTTGGAACAGCTTGTGTGTTTTTCTGTGTTTTTTTATTGATACAATAAAAATAAATTTATCAAACATATTTTATTCTGGATTTATATAAGGAGTGCTCACACTTCATTTTATTTTTTGATTTACTATATCATAGTCGCTCATTCCAAGTGTGAAGCAGCCCAATTCTTTTATGATTTCATTTTGTATTACTTGACCCATATATGTTGTATTTTATAGCTGGTTTGTTGTTGACTAATACAGCTCCATTGTTTTCGAAGTTACAGTGCTAATGTCTTCTTAACATTTTAACTTTGAAATATACACTTACTTTGAAAATAGCATGTGTGCAAAAACCATGGCTTACAGTTCATAGCAGCAAATGTATTCTTACTATTCTACACTATGCAGCCTTGCTCTAGGTTGCTTTGTTTTTCTTACACCAAGGTCTCCAGTTGTCCAATGCCTAGCACCCACAGGTGAAATAAGGGGGATGCATGGGGTGCAGTGCACCCAGTCACCTCAACTTTGTCTACAACTCCTCTATTTTTATTGACAACCACCCAACTTGCTTATTAGTAGCTCTCTCACCAACCCGCTCACCAACCATTGCTGAATTAAAACAAGATATAAAGCACTGAAACCATTGTGACCCTTAGCTCACCCCTACATCATGCGTAGGCAACCTTTGGCATGCCAGATTACATCTCCCCTGATGCTTTGCCTGCATTATGGCGATAAGAGATGGGAGATGTAGTGCACAACATCTGAAGTGCCAAAGGCTGCCTAACCATCCCTATATAGTGGTAGACACTGCTGCAACATTTGGTGCCTACCGTCACAATACATGCTCTTACCTCTGTAGCCTGGCCCAGCCAGGGTAAGTGAGCTTGAAGAACAACAGTGGACTTAGAGATACAAATGGAAGAGATGTGGAATTGTGGAAGAGATGAAGATGTGGAAGATAATTTTGTATGGAAAGGGAAGAGCAATTTGCCTATGTCTACATACAGCAGTGAAACGACCTACACACAGGTGTCAGTGATCTTAGCTCACCTCTGACAGCTACCACTTGTTGTTCAATGCATAACAACAGTCTAGCATTGTAATATGCTTGTTCCTTACTACTGTGTCAGCTACACCTTGCTACTCCAGTAGGCTGTTCAATATGATGATCTTGTGAAGATTTAAATCTGCTCTTGGCTTTCAGGAAGAAACAAGGTCTTGACTGACCTCAATATATTCTAAAACACAAAATTAATAACAGACCAAAGCAACATAGCTAGGATTATAGTAGGGTGGGGAGTAGTGAGGGATGATACATACTTCTTTATTCACTTAACTGGATTCATGTTTTGTTTGTTTTTTCAGCAACATTATAATAATTTATTAAGCCTCTATATTGGAACTCACATACGGATAAAGCTATTTTGAAGAGGATCTTTTGCAAACATCTAAAATATGAATTGAATTTACATTAACTTTTATAAATTTAATTAAGTTGGCACTTTCATGAAGACAAACGTTTGCTATGAAGTTATATTCATCTATATACTTCATCAGAAAAATAGCAAGAAAAACAACTTGGCTTTGCCTGTAGCATATTCTTCAACTTTTTATTTGATTTAGTAACATCAAATGCACTGAATATATTCTGGAACTAATGTTAAACAGCTGTATACATAAAGTTGCAGATTCATGTAATAATATTCTGATCTTATGCCTTTTCTTTTTAAGAAAATACATGCTATCATGTGCTAGCTGGAATAAAAGTGTTTTTTGATTCACTGTCTGTCACTAAGTCACAAGCAATGATTGATACACTTTGCATGAGCGGAACCAGCGCATCTTGGAAAACACAATGTTGTTTTTATATCTTCTTTGTGTTTATGGTTACCACAATTTGTGCCCTACTATTTTTTTTTCAATAAAGTCTTGTAGTAATACTTGACTATACATGACTTGGTGTTCAGTTTGTTTGTTATTGACAATACCTGGCTAGAATTGTTCCTTTTCACCCTTAAGTTGTAAAACCAGTTGTATTACCATTTCCTTTAATGTACATCATCAAGACATCTATTGAACTACTCCTATGACACTTTCCAGATGATAACCTATCATTTGGGTAAATTTGTCTGTAGTGTTGGTGTTGCAGAACACACAAATTCCTAAAATAGTGACTTTTCTCGGAACCCTCCAGCACTTTTTTTGCACCAATAAGAGGAGATAAGGGAGGTTACAGCCCCAGTAAGAGCTATTATCAAGCCCTTGAGGTTAGCCCCCTTAGCCCCACCTCCAGAGAAGGAAGGCTGTGTGCAATGGAACCAGTGGAGAGGGAGCTGTAATCTTCCTTATCTCCCTTTGCATACCTGTGGTGATGCCAGGAGTCAGGATATGATGACAATCTGGCCCCAGCATCAATAAAAGGCATGAAAGGAAGCAGAGCAAGAAGAGCAGGAAAATGCTAGGATCATACCAGCCTCACTGAACCCCAGGGAGAGAATGTGTTTGAGTGGATCATTATCAGTGAGAGTGTGTGTGTGTGTGTGTGTGTGTGTATATGTCTGTCAGTGAGTGTGTATGTGTCTTTCAGTGTGTGTGTGTCTATGAGTGAGCATGTATGTCTGTCAGTGTGTGACTGTCATTGAGTGTGTGCATGGCTATCAGTGTACGTCTCTCAGTGAGTGTGTTTGTTAATGAATGTGTGTGTCTGTCAGAGTGTGCCAAATCAGTGAGAGTGTGAGTAAGACAGTTAGTGTGTATGTGTCTAACAGTGAGTGTGTGTCTGTCAGTGAATTTGTGGGTCTGTCGGTGATTGCGTGTTTTTCAGTGCATGTATATGTGACTGTCGATGAGTGTGAATGTGTCTGTCAGTGAGTGTATGTCAGTGTTTGTGTATCAGTGAGGGCTTGTATCTCTTCAGTGAAAGTGTGTGTTGGTTAAAAAGTGTGTGTGCCAATGGGTGTGTATATAGGTCAGTGTGAGTGTGTCAGTAAGATTGTGTGTGCTTAAAAGGATAAAGATGTTTGATTAAAAAATAGTTTCTCTAAGTTCATGTTATTTGTAGTAATATGCATATATAAGTGTACACATACACACAGTATATATACATGAATTATTAATAAATGTGTTTTACATTAAAGTATATATAAAATAAGTGTATATCAAAAAAGCATTAAATTACATCTGCTCATTGTGCTACCAGAAATGCTAGATAATAAATACATTTCAATTTAAAGCTCTTTAAAAATATAGTCCCTCACCTACTTGTCAATTAAATTTTCAACATTAGCCATATGTGCCAGTGGCATAGAGGGTCTAATGCCATATACTGAGTGACAGCTGGTCCTCTTTCTTCCTGTCAATGTGTTATTACCCTCATGTTTGCACTGAGATGCACTGAAGCCAGTGTGCTGTCAGTGAAGCCAGCATGTTAGCGTCAGCATGAGGAATTGACATACTTAGGGAAGTGACACCAGGCAGGGCCAATCAATTCACACTCACACTCTACCAACTCCACATAGATGTTACACTCAGCCAACCCCTGCATAATGACACTCAGACTCCATATATATCCCACTCCGATATTACCTAGGGAGGAGAAAGATGGGTGCCAAGGGAGGCCCTTAATTCCTTGTTATGGCCCTTATTGGGGCTATCAGGTAACCTATGGGGTAGATGGGAGTATGCAGGGGCTTTTCCAAATTTTCTTTCTCATCCCTTCCCTTTTATCTCTCCTTAGTGTGGCTCTATGTATGTGTTGGGAAGAAGTGTAATCATTTTCTCCCAAGACACTGGGAGAGGCACAATACAATGCACTGTTTAAGAATTGCGGTGCTCGTCTAGGTGCCTGATCAGAGATGACCTGATGGTGACCTTTAGTATGAGAGCCACCATATGATCCTCCCAAGGCTATAGCCCCCGGATTGACTGCAGTGCTGCTAGTTCAACCCATGTTACCAACTAAAGTCACATAAAAGTGTATTCCAAATTTGTAATCTTTGCACACTTGCATGTTTTAATCGAAAAATATTTCACTATATGTTGGTGTTTTATAATTCCATTTTTATGTAAATAAGAAGTCGATACTGAATGTACCATATCTGTTTATGTCCTTGTGTGGTTAGTGAAGAAGTTATTTTGTGGAATGATACATGTCTTTGCTACCTACCAGTGTCAATTTATTTATTTAAAAAGTAATTTAGAATAAGATCACAGTTTCTTATTTACACAGATTACTCAATTTTCTAAACTAATTTCTAAACATATTAATAGGTGTTTTAAAAAAATATTAATTGGAGTTCCATTGCTGTTGAGCACTTACATACACTGAAAGACAACACAAATTGCAAGCTTCTAAAAATTAGTATTAAGATAAAATGGAGACAGAGACATTTGGGTCCAAAATAAGGATAATCCCTCTTAAATAGAGACTCTTTGAAGTTATTGGAAAGTTTGGGAAAAAATAAGAGATGGAAGGTTCAGCAACTTAACTCTATAAACTTCAGTGAAGGAAACAATGAAGTCATTGAATACTGAAATAAGTTACATAAATGTTATGTTATATTATATTGTGTTGTTTTCACTCATGACATAACTCTCTCTCTCTCTCCCTCTCCCTATAAAAAGTAAGCTTCCTTTTACACAATGAGGTAAATCTATCAACCATACTGAGTGACCAGTTATTAACCTTCACACTATCCCATAGATATGTGCAACTTTGAATAACAGTGGCATTTAAAGTGCTTCACGGGAAGAAAAATAGACACATGTAGATAGCCAGATTCTTGGATGCATGGTCTTCATACTTCTTCACAACTTCAATAGAAATGTTTCGATTTTTCTCTTCCAGTTCAGTTGTTTGTGGATCTCCCACTCAGCACGTCTCCACCGAGCTCTTGCAGATACATAAATAACATCAACTACTGCATATACTACTCTGACCTTGAAAAATAGCAAAGGTCAAACAGCAGTTTGTTTTGCTAGCCATTCCTCTTTAGCAGTGAACTGCATGGAGTTGTTTTATAGCTGCTGCTCTACATATGATTTTAATTCCTATACATCGAATACACTAATTCAGAAAATACATATGTTCTAATTTTTATATAAAATTTTACTCAGATTTAGATATTTACTTTATTTTCCAAAAACAGACTGTTTTTTAAACCAAATTTTATTTTGTCTAAAAGTAGAAAAAGAAAACATTTAATACAATTGTCAAAAACATTTCAAAAGTTGGTACAATAAACACATATAAAGCTATTGTGTAAAAAATCTCTAATAGTAGATGACTGGGACAGAATTTAAAAAAGGAGGGGTGGGGGAGACGGGGCTTGAGGTAAGGCAATCCCAGGCAATATGTAAGCAGAATAAAATAAAAATGTTAGTATTTAGTGAGGAACCAAATTACCTATTTTAGATAAGTTTGGATCAGTCAAACCAGGAGAATGAAAACTTTCTAGTTAAAAAATATTATACCAATGATAATAGGTAAATGTTCCTTTTTAAATTGAAGGGGGACTAAAACATTAGCTGAAGTGATCAGTTATCATAGCACTGAGTTTCTGTATGCTTTAATAAGTCCTCATGGTGTACTAAAGGCAAGGATGGGTTTATTTTCTTCTGAAATGCAATATACAAAACTTTAAATTGTTTTTCAGTAAGATGCTAACTTATTGTAACTCACTATATGTGTGCATATATATTCAAAGCCCATCACACCCCCAGTGTTTATTAGGTATAGCGGGATATTCAAGATGAAGGAAAGTATCGGTCTAGTACCAACTTGTCAAAATTCTAAATGCTAATTGTTGAAGTCTAGATAAAATGGAGAATGTATGCATATTAATACATATTTCCCACCACTCAGCTTATGTTAGTATAATGCCCTGTTCAAGTTCCCATTAAGAAGTATAGTGTGGAAAGGTGGGCTTTGTATTAGGATTTCATATATTGAGGAAACTAAATGGGATGGCTCTGAGACAAAAGTGAACACTATGTACCATATTAAAGGAACACTGATGTGAGTTATGCATCTGGAGTTCTGCTGTTTTTTTATATTTTCAGGTAGGTGTAAATAAAATTGGACTATGCTAAAAGGAAATATATAATATCAGGTATGGGATGTAAAGGAGATGGGAGTGAAGAGATCTGTGTGTGTTTAACCAGTCCATCAAACGCTCAACAAAGGGACTAAATCAGCATTGAGTAGATAAATGCCTGCAATTAATCCAAGGCAAAGTGCTTAATGAAATTTTAGTGTAGACTTGTTCAGTGGAATTCCAGAGGTTTTCTGAAAAAGTAGTCTTCTAGTCAATGGCCCTGGTTAAGACGGCTATAGTTTTGTAAAGTCCAGAGAGTCCTTTCTATCTATCTTTGTAGATACAATCATTCAATCCCCATTGAAAATCAGGTTTATTTTCAAAAGCTGTCAATTGAATTCTCAAGTCTCAAAATTATTAAAATCCTGAATATAATAATTTACAACAGCATAAAGATGCAAAACATGTGTTGTCTCAAGCACACCTAATGCAACTAATCAAGGGCTTCATTAATTGCAGTAGGTTGGCTTGAGCTGGAACACTAGAGATACCTAAACTGGCTAGAGGTTTGTTGAGTGACACATTTGACTGCATGTTAGAAATAGTCAAAAGAATGGTCTGCAATGTAATTGAAGAGTTAATCGCCCTTCACAAACAAGGAACATGATATAAAAATATAGTGAAGGTACTGAACATTCGTAAAGAAACACCACTGGAAGGATAGTTTTCAAGTTCAAAGTTGAAGAAACTGTGGTTACACTATCTGGACATGTCAGAAAAAGGAAGCTATCAATGGTTGCAACCAGATTTCTGAGAAGACAGTTTGTGAAAAAATGTTGAGTGACTACAAAAGACCTGCAGCAAGACTTGGTGTCAACAGGCTCACTGAGCACAGTAAGGTGCCTACTAAACGCAACACTTTTCCATGCCAGAACTCCACAGACATACACCACTATTGACCAAATATGCCCAAGAACATAAATAAGCCACAGAAGTTTTGGGATTCTATTCTGTCGAGTGATGAAACAAAACTGGAACTTTTTGGTCAAATAGATCAGTGGTATGTCTGGAGGTAGAAAAATGAAGTATACGCTGAAAAGAACACTCTGCTTACAGTTAAACATGGTGATTGCTCTGTGATGCTTTGGGGCTGCTTTGCATACTCAGGAACTGGAAACCTGCAGCGTATGGAAGGTAAGATGGATTCATTGAAGTATCAGGTAATTCTAGGAGAAAATGTCATGCTGTCTGTGAGGAAGCTGTGAGAATTTAAAACCGCACATTTCATCAAGTCTTGGTTACAGAATAAGTCCTGGAGAATTCTACATTAGC